AGACAGCTCCTGCAGGCTGTAATCCAAAGGGATTGCTCTATCTCCACTGTATTTCTCCCACCACCTCCTTCTCTGTCCTCTCGTCTTCTCATCTCCTGCTTGGCCTTCATTACTCCTGTCTCTCTGAGAGGTGGAAGGAATTTCGTGTCAGGCCCTGTGCCCTTTGCTGTTCTTGTTTTCTGTACAAATTACCAGGCGATGGATGCTTTCTGTGAGAATAATTTCTCTTGCTTAAGGACAAGAGAAAGTATTCTCAGACAAACAAGCTCTGATTTTTTTTCAATTTGTGCAGGTTAGCACTATAATGCCATCCAAATGCAGCATACAGAGGCACTCTGGTCTCACAATTATTTATGACTATCACCAGGAGGTCTATTGATACAGTTTTAAGTCCTAAAACCCACCTTGGTTAGTGGTTAAGCCTTTTATATTTTATTCCGCAAGACAAAATACATCTGCTGATGAAGGTATTGACATCCAGCTGATGAAGTTAATGACCGTTTTTAAGGGTATCGCATGTTTTTTCTTTAGAATAAAAATAACTTATGTGAAGTTTTTACAAAGAAGCCTACTGCAATAAAGCGCAGAGAAACACTAGTATTCTGGGTGAAATTTGCCTTAAGTAAGACCCAGACATATTTTATAGACTGTTTTATAACTGAGGAAGAGCACACTGCCATTCTTCATTTTAAACATCTAATTTAGTGCAGACTGGGAAACCGCATCCCAGAAAGAATTGTTAAAATTCCTGGCAGTAAATTTCATGAACAATCATTAGTTCAAGATTTAGGGAGGGTTCCTTTGTAATTCATATCAGTAGACACATAATACAAGTGAAATGGGTCTGTTAAAGTACAATAAATAAACTAAGAAAGCTCATTGGACACTCACACGTCGTGAAGCCAAGAGTCAGACTTAATTCACTTAATTCAACAGAGGTCACGTTCTTGTTGATTTCTGAATTTATCTCTGGCATTGCAGAGAATATTTCACAAAACATGTACAGCTTGACTTTCTCTGTTTTATTTATCTTTAATCTTATTCTTAAGTTTGTCTACCTCTGATTATCCTCTTTATGTAACAAAAGTTTTTTCTTGTTTGAATTATATATATGGTTTCTTATATTATGAAAACACACTGGGATTGTTATTCCAATAGTCTGACAGAATTACAGAAAGTATCCAGAAATAGAAAGACCAATCTGGGAAGGTAAAACTAACATTCTGCATTGACAACGCAGAATACCTTCATTACATGGGTGTTGAAATACTATTGAAAATGGATCCAAATATAGACAATTTGAATCAATGAAACACATCATTAATTGCGTTATTCTTTTTTTAACCAGTAGAGGGCTCTTTTGATTTGGCTCCTCTTGACCTAGGCATGAAGCGGTTTGCAACCCAGTTTACCCAAATGAGCATGTTCACAGATCTGAGCTGATGATTAACTCAAGAGTTAGTTGTAATGACCCAACTTATCAAAAACCTGAATGAAAACTTGTGTTAGGTGACACAAAGTCAACTGTTGAGAAAATCCAGCGTCGTTGAAAAGGTTTCTGTGCTTCAGTGCCAAGAACACAGGCTGCACCTCTGCTTATTTTAAGACATTTTCACTATTTGTGCTTTACATGTTTTCATTTGATTTTGGATTTGTTTAAAATAAAAATTCCAAAGAGGCCTTTGTTAGAAATTATCAGTCACTTTTTATATTATAAGTAAATATTCACCCTCAAAATGATTCAATAGAAAAATAAGAAGGGCATTTTGCAGTTTTATTGTCAATTAACTGAAATAAAATAATTATCAAATTTATACACTGACTCAATCTCATTTCTTTATAAAAGGTGTAAAATAGCAGAAAATAGTGATCAAATCATATCGTGATCCCAGTTTTGTGATACATTTCATATTGTAAGTTAACTGTATTGTTACATCCCTAAGGTGTTTAACCTGCACGTGGATATCAGCAGAAAAAGATTCCACATGTGCACTTTGTAGGAAACTCCAAATTCCATTCACCGCCTGTATGGGCCCTATAACTGTTACATAATGCACATTCTACATATTCTACATGTCAGACACACATTGCTGAAGAAATCCCTCAATTTATGGACCAGCTCAAGGAGATGAGTCGGCCATTGGGGAATGTCTGCTGAAACTGGGCCTGTTGTGTTCTAATAATAACCTGACTTCCCTTCCTTTCTTCTTTGGCGTTTAACCTTTTAAAGTTTCTTTTTCTGCTTTACTGTGTTGATACTCAGGCGTAACATTAACGATAAAAGAAGGGACGAAAGCAGTGTACAAGAGAGGCCTGTTTTAAGACAGTTATTGATGACTCATCCTGCATTTTTTAATCTTTCAATTTACATTTAACTTTACATTACTTCAAATTTCTTTTGTTTTTTTTTGTATTGATAAGAGTACAAATGTATCTCTTTGCCATATCATTGGCTGCCTTTCCACTTCAGTATTCATCTAGCTTCCTGTCTACTTATTCATGTATTACACGTATACTTCTCAGCATAATCATCGTGACATCATTTTTGAGAAATCCCCCCCCCAAAAAAAAATCAAGAAATCATTTTATAAGGAGCCAACATCCTCTGGAAAACATCTGGGGGAAACGGAACAATAATCCTGTGATTTACACCAATTAGATAATCCCAACAGGACAAATTCTGGGTCAAGTGCCCGTCTGCCCTCCTATGCTCCCAGTCAGGCTCAGGTGAGCGGGATGGTCTCCTGGCGAGTAACGGGTTAGTGTGTGTCTGTCTCATCTCATCCTTTCAACCCCCCTTTATCTCCGGGGGCTATATATTAGGGGTGGTGACTCGGCTACATCTTAAGCATCACTCGCACCCGCAGACACTCGAGCGACATCTTGGTTGAAGAGCAGACTGTAACAATGTGGTTCTTGCTGAAGCTGGTTGTGATTCTTTTCTGCATCAAGAGAGGAGAGGGTCACTGGCTGAGGTCACTAATCGGTAAGTTCTGCCTAAAAGGAGGGCCATGACCTTTGACCTCCAAGATCAAATCTTATTTTGCCCGCTTTGTCATATTGACATATTGAATATTGCTAATAGACATGGATTCTAGGAATGGAATTCACCATTGACAAGACATTAACAAGACTTGAGTCCAATAGGGCATTATTTGAATTTCAACATATAGCATTAGGCTGAGTATTGAGAGAACATATTAAAATGAGTTTTACAACTAATCTTCAACTGCAGATTTTGTTCCTAAAAGGAAAACTTGCTTAATTGGGTTTTATCTAATAAGATACGTTTTTAAGTTGTTTCATCAGAAATAAAACGGTGTCAAATATTGTTTTAAAATTCTTACATCAAAATGAGCTTAGTGATTCAAAGGTTTGTGAATTGGTGTGAGGGCAACCATGTCGTCCTAAATGTCAGTAAGACAGAGTGTGCCATCACTCCTATAATTTCTAGAATAAAAGATCGATACTTGGTTTCCGTGTATCCATACATCACTATTCAGAATGTGTCAGTACAATTGGGATACTATGATGTCTGGTTTTTGGACCCACCCTTATGTGTACCTCTATAACTTTAATTTTCTCTTTGCATGTTACACATTTTCCCTTCTGACCATTTAAACTGGTGAAGAAACAGGGAAAAAATGTTTTTTTTTACAAGAAATACACTGATAACTCTTTCTGCTTTTTCCAGATCAGAAACAAGGAACAACCTCTCCACACTTTGTGGTGAATGTGGACAGAAGAAACAGAGATCCAGCTGCAGAAGATGGTCAAACAGAAGCTTCTGGAGTCGGTCCATCCCCTGTTCCCATGGTCCGGTCTCGTCGCTCCACTCTAGACTCGCAGTGCAGCCTGCGCTCCATCCTGCTGCAGGTCCGAGACCTTGGGCTGGGCTACGACTCAGATGAGACCGTCCTCTTCAAGTACTGCAGCGGGATGTGTCCACACGCTCGCTCCAACCACGACCTCACCCTCACCAACCTGCTGATGAGCGGGTTGCTCCCTCAACCGGCACCAGGGGAGCTGTGGCACAACACGCCCTGCTGCAGGCCCACCCACCATGAGGACATGGCCTTCCTGGACAACTCCCACCGCTGGCATAAGGTGGAGAAGCTGTCAGCTGCGGACTGCAGCTGTGTGGGATAGACAGCAGGGTGTAGAGGAGAGGAACTAAGAGGGTGTATGATGGTTTTTGAGGATGATTTTACCGGCAAGTTCTCTTATTATACGCTTAAATTAAGATTTGTATTCTATTCCATTCATTAAGCTAAAATCTATTCTTATCAAGCTATTGATGCCAAGAATTAATAAGCACAAACTAAGAATTTCTCTCAAACATTTTTGGTGAAAACCAGAAAAGTCGATGTGTGCTAATTTAAATGTTTTGACTTTGGTAATCTTAAAGACATCATTAAGTTAGTATTTTAACACCTTTCACATTTGTGAGCTTTAAAAACCTTCACTAACAGAATTCAAGCTAAAAAAAAACTGTGATTGTGATCGTTTATGAAAAGTTTGCTTAATGGAAATGGGATTTGTTTTTCCTTCTTAAATTGGCCATCAATACATATAGGGCTTAGAAATGACTTCTTTAAATGAAAATATATTGTTTTTTAAATGAAAGCGTTGCTCAGCTGATTCTGTCCTCAGAATCCAAAAGACTAAAAGTGAACAGACATACTACAAACCACTTCACCGTTTCTGTAAACAAGCTGACATGTATTTATTTGAATTCTTAAGTGCAATTTTGGGGTTAAGTAATAGAAAGAAATATGCGTACGAAGCTGCGTATATATTTATAAACCCAGCTGAGTAAGTTCTTCACTATTCAGACTTAAGCAGTTCAGCTTCAGTTCTGTATTTATGTAAGATAAGTTATTTATTTATTTGTTGCCATTATTTTGTCATGTGGATTAACTTATTTTGTACTTTGCCTATCTCTAATTTTTTTGCAAACACAGTTCCTAATAAAGATAAACTTGTACAGGACTCAGCAGTGTTGTGAAGAGTGTTTTTATTCCAAAGCAGTTGACCTCAAAAAATGTTTAACACCAAGGACCCTGAAAGCGCCAACAAGGAGACCACAGACTCCCTTTAATCCCAGGCATGTTAGCACAGTATTGTATGAAACCCCTGCCTAAAATATTTACACATTTTTTATTGGGTTACTTATGAAAGGAATTAAAGTGGGAAAAAATGCTCTCAGGAACCCTCTGAGGGACCACTGGCCCCACATAACTTACTAATGACAGGAATTGTATTCATGTTTTCTTGTAAAAAAAATCATATGGATAACTATTTGTTTCAGTTATGGACTAAAATAACATTCACCTGCAGATTGTGAACATCTGTCGATCAAAGTTTTTGTCTCTTAATATTTATGTCAGTCCTTATGTTAAGCATTCGCTCTCCTTTCTACTCTGATAAATCTTTGCTAAGCTAACCGCTATAAAGACCTGAATGGCTGCTTTGCGTCAATGCAGTTTACTTCTAACCAAACAGAAACTTTCCCATGTAACCATTCACATCCTCACACAGACTCCAGTCAGGATCGTATTTATGTTGAGCCTTTTATACTCTCTGATTCAGTTTCCGTTTGTACATTGACTGTAATCTGAATAACAAACACATTAAACCTCCTAGCATGCCAATATAGCTTCTGACTACTTTCACCATCTTTAAGAAGCCATCGTGTCCTCCTCTGTCTTCACCGTCTCCTCCGGCTCCAACCCCCACAACTGAACACGTCCCTCCATGGCTGTGAGGAGGCAGGTCTCTGTTGGGTGGAAGGACAACGACTGGACGACAGCTTTCCCCACCGGCAGTTTCAAGGACAGAGATCCCTGGAAAAAAACAAGAAATGGAAAATGTATGGGAAGTTTCCTAATTAAGGATGACCTATTGATTATCAGACATGATTATCCAGGGGAAACAAGAGGTTACAGACTGTTGCTAAGCATAACGGAGAGCAGTTGGAGTGCCAACTGGCTTCCTCTTCAGTTTTGTATAGTGCTTAGCGTAAGACTATAAAGCTTTAAGCATTATTAGTTAGATTTCCAAATACAAAAAAACAAAAACTGAAGGGAAGACGGACCAACTTTAAAAGGTGTGCCCACAAATAATTAGATAAATCATTCTCATTCTGCCATTGACTGAACAATGAACATAAATATAACCTGACACGTACTTCCACCAGGTCCCAGCAGTAGACATGTCCGTCTTCTGAGCAGCTCAGGACATGAGTATCTTTACTGGACAGGCAGCAGTCCAGCTTGTAGCCCTTCATTTTATGTCCTTTATACCTTAGTGAATCAAACAGACAAAACGTGGCATCAAAAATCCATCATGTTAACATGCTGAGCTGCTTGAAATAGAAATATAGCTCAAAATTCTTTAAACATGTGGTTTTTTTTTTTCAAATGTTGTAATTAAGACAGATTATGTGTATAAGGGAAGACATGTCAAAACACTTTGTTGGGTTTTTTTTAACTGCTTTAACTCGATTCTTAAAATATTTATGAAGTTCTCAGCACGATGCATTTCCCAAACAGCTCATACTGTACATGCATCAACACTTTAGTTTTCAAGCAAAAGGCTACAACTCATTCAAAAATAAGAGTATTTAAGTTTACACCATCTGTTATACTGTTTATCTTATTATTTTTTTAAGCACCAATTTTTGTCTATTTTGCACAATTATGGTTTATCTTCTCTTTGTTGTTTTTTCAAGTGTCTTTAAATTGTCGCTTTTATGTGGAACTTTCTTATACAGTATCGTTGACAGAAACATTGATTTGAATACATTTACAAATGTGGAATTTATGTCAGCCATGCAGAATTTCTAAATCTGTAGCTGTATACAAGTAGCCTATGTAGAGTTCATACTTCACTTTGTATGACATTACTGGATTTATTTCAGTTCTGTTTTATGCATTTTTAATGATAGTAGACAACATGAAAACATCAACATGATCCAGAATGGGATTTAGGTTCAGGTTCAGGTTCAGGTTACTTTATTTGTACCCGTAGGTAGATTTGTTTGCAGCCAGCAAGATCGACATCCATCATGACACACAGATTACAGGACAAATACAACAATGAACAACACATAAGAGAGAAGGAGCTCTAAACCAACTCAAACATGTAACTAAAAAAGTTTACTTCTGTGACTTCATGGTTATGCAGGGAAAAAGTGACCTTATTCTTTTTACTAAAATTTTGATTTTCATTAAAAGATGTCAATTATCATCAGTTAATTATCATCATCATCAATATGAACAGCACAGTGTAAAACTGAGCAGTACTCACTCTCCGAGCATTTCCCCTGTGCTCTTGTCCAGTAGTCTGACTGTTGAATCCAGGCTGGAGCTCAGAGTGCACTGACCGTCCTGACTGAAACACACACATGTGATGGGACCTGGGACACAAACGATACACACGTGTTACAAGATAGAGCATTTTCAGTGTTATTTAAGTCAATGTTGCATTTCCATAATCCTACATGAAGAAAGAATCACCATCATTACCATAACTACCACTACAACAATCTCTTTATTACTATTTAAACAACTTCAACCCCTTATAGGTAAAGTACATTTTATACTGGTGTTTGTCTGAAAAAAGATTCATTACTGCTGATGAAGTCAACATGCAGCTGTCCCATTCTCAGGTCGTAGCGCCTCACTCTGCCATCCACTGATCTGAAAAGGAGATTTTCTTTTTTTAATATGCATCTGTGAAAACTCAACCTTTGATCTTATTCTAACTGGTACAAAGGTATGTGCAGTAATGACAAAACTAGGAGTACATAGTCTTCTCATTTTCTTCAGCTTCAAATGAACCTATTGCAGTTTGAATGGGCAGGAGATGGCAGACGTTTGCTTTTAATAAAATGTCTAAATCAACTCTAACATGCAGCTGATCAGCTTTCATGGTATTTAAAACATGTATCGGGGTTGACAGTACTGACCCTGTAAGAAGCTCATGTTGTACAACTTTCAAGCTGCTGATGCCATCCCGAGCCTCGTCTAAGATCTGAATGGGCTCAAATCTTCTGGACCTTGTGTCCCAGCACCGAACTGTTCCATCTATGGACCCTGGATGAAAACAAAATAAGAAGGTTACAATCCCACATAACTATGAATCCAAAAAAAAAAAAACCCTAAGAACCTCTGTGCTCAAGTCAAAAAATGATTCCCTTAATACGCTACGCCTCAATAATGTAGAAATGCCTTTAAGTATTTCATCTTAATGTAAACTCACCAGACAAGATGACCGTTGCCTCCTCATTGAACTGGACACAGTTGACTTTCTGTGAGTAGAAAAATTGGGTAGGATATAAGATTAAAACAAAGATAGCAATTAAAGTTTCAAGAAGCGTATAAAAAAAAAAAATGACATAGCAAAGTTCTTAACCTCAGAATCAGAGATACAAATGCAAGAACATACCCCAGCATGACCCCTGAGTTTCCGTGTGACTTGGCCTGTGGCGACGTCCCACAGGATCACCGTCTTATCAGAGCTGCAGGAGCAAAGCTGGCTGTTGTCGTAAGAGCTATTGAAAAGCAAAATAGTTTTTTTTGTCTCTTTATTCATTCATATGGATATTTTATTGTAGTTTCCCTCCCTGAGACTCTCTGGGAGACTGCGACAATTCTCTCACCCATCAGCATCCAGGACCTCGTATCCGTGGCCACTGTATGTCTTCAGCAGAGTCCCCCGGCTCACACTCCACAGCTTTAGAGATTTGTCACTGCCACAGGACAGCGCGTAGTTCCCATCAGCTGAATAAGAAGGGAGACATGAGACAGAGGGAGGAACACGCTAATTTTATTTAATTTATAACTCGTAACTATGCCCCCACATAGATCGAATTTTGAGAGCTATACTGATATTGATTTTGCAGAGGAAAAATAACCAATCACAGATACAGCAGCTGATACAGAGCATGTTTTATTTCACACGGATTATTCACCAATGTTGCACAATTATGACTATGAAAAGGTACTTAGAAGGCTGCATTCTCAGATAGCTGTAGGTTGTGTGCTTTGACAAAATATTAAAGAACAGTGCATTAACTTGCGCTGTTCACTTAGTTGGAGTACTGTCAGGATATTATATTATTATATTAGTCTATATTATATAACATTTCATTATATTATACTATATTGTTCATATTGCACGATATTATATTATATAACTGCACTCTGCATTACTGTGGTACAACACTGCCTCTCTTCTCTGCTGTTTACATTACTTGCTGCTATTTTATCATACCAAGTCACTTTAATCATCACTTGTCACTTTATCTTGTCATTCTCTGCAAATGCTGTCTCAATTCCCCCCAGTTAACTTCATCATTCATTTTGTACTTGTATATACCCCCTGTTTTTATTTCTATTTATCTTATCTATTCTGTTTAATGTGTATTTTTGAGCTTTCTTGTCTGTGCTGCTGTAACGCACGAATTTCCCCTCTGGGGATCAATAAAGTTTTATCCTATCCTATATTCTGCTTTAACCAGTTGTTTGCCCTGACAAACAGGCTAGAGGTGTTCCCAAACAAAACTCAACAGTATGATAAATGTTTTCAATCTTTTACCATTGAACCGGACAGCCCTGACAGCTCCTTGTTGACAGTCTATGGTGGTGAGAAGATGTTGGGGAAGCTGAGGAGCCTGAGGTCTGGGCTGGGGGAACGTCATCACAAAAACTATGAGAAAGTGGGGAAAAGAACAGCCCACCTTCCATTTATTCAGGTTAAGTGTGGTGTACTACCTTTTTACATATTCGTTTAGCGAAATACAGCTGCACAAACAAACAGACTAAAAGATAGGTTACGACTTCATTAAATTACACATACCTCATTAGCTTTCAAGAAAGCAACACATGGTTAGTAACATGTTTTACACTACATGTGCAACTGTATGTTACCATAGTTACTAACAATGATGCAGGTTTTGGGTTTTAAATAGCAAAACTTTCCTACACACAGCGGCCTCATACGAAAGGTTATCGTACATACTTACTTATGCCACGAACCGTTCAGTCTGTGTTTATATTCAGGGGAGTAAAATGTCATATTCGTGCCGCAACTCGTAGAAATTATATATTTTTTACTGTCAACATCCTCTCCCATTCACTGTACCCGCCATGTTTGCGAGTACGCGCAATGCACACTGGGATGAAAAAATACATCTGTCAAAATAAGATTTCAGACCTCTTTCTCCCGGTTTCACCTTCTGCTGCGGATTACTTTATGCTCTTATTTTGAAATCACCGGATGTGCCTACACCTTCCCCCCCCTCCCGACTCATTTAATTCATGACGAGGTCGATCAGCTGTCCTTCTGTTATCGGAGTTTACATTTCTAAGTAATTGTTGACCTTTTTACAATAAAATATGTCTTCCAACAACATGTCAGACCCGAAGAGGCCAAATAAGATTTTAAGGTGAGCATTTTGTGACGAGAAATAGACGTTTTTTTGACGTAATCAGCTGACGTATTAGCGTGGTTTACGGTAGCTAGCAGCTAAGTAGCTCATCTTTAACACATTTCATGAGTAGACTTTAAAGAGATTAGTGTAGCTGAGAGGTGTATTAACCACTGAATTAATTACAGATAACTTTAATGCAATATTGTTTTTAGTTGGCAGTGTTTTAAATAGTCAAAAGTTAAGGTTTGTGGCTGATTATCCCTATAAGTATATCATAGCCAATTGCCCTTCTTTCAATAATTAGTCGGATTAGTCGTCCGTAGAAACTTGCAGACTGCAAAGATCACTGAATTAAACCCTGTTCAATACCCTTATTATAAACTGGAACACTGTCTATGAATCAGGACAATTTTCTGATTATTACATGATTGTTTTGTTGCAGGTACAAGCCCCCTAGCACAGAGTCCAATCCCACACTGGAGGATCCCACGCCTGACTATATGAACCTGCTTGGCATGATCTTCAGCATGTGTGGGCTGATGCTCAAGGTGACCCCCCCCCCCCCCCCCCCCCCCCCCCACACACACACACACACACACACACGCTCACCCTAAGCGTTCACTGTCACCTCTACCTCTTTGTGGTTTTGTGTGTGTTCACAGTAAAGAAATGAGTGGTAGGCCTTGCTCTTTCCCCAGTCGTTCCATTTAGAAGATTAAAGGTAAACTCACCTTTTGGATGAATGGATGAAGGGCAGTTTCTGACCTTGGGGCGTTATGGATACAATAGATGAAACAAAGAGGGGACATCAGCAGGCTCAAGTTGCATCCAAGTGCAGTAGCAGATAAAATGTTCAATTGACTGTCTTTGACTGAAAACAAATCAGAACTTATTTAATCGAATATAGGAGGTTATCAGTGGGGAAACATTCATTAAAATTTCCTTGGAAGAATATTATTTGCAGATTGTGTGCAATAAATGACAACAACTACAGACTTCTGTATACATTCTAAGGCGTGCATCTTCTTCAAGGTGTAGTGACAGACTAAGACAAATAAAGTCATTGTGAGTTATTGACTGATCATTACTCTTTTTGTCTCAGAGTGTGTCGATTCACCCTGAAGAAGCAGATACCCGCTGGTGTATTTGAAGTGTTTTAGCCCTATGAATTAAATGCCTTTAATACTTTTCAAACCATCCTGAGTGCCTGGACCTGGATCATTTATACCAATGTTTTTTGGATTTAAGTGTTGTCCTCCACCCTTTTTTAAAGTATTCCCTTTACATATGGTGTATATATATATATATATATATCACTGGTGCTCCCATGAGTACCGGTTTGAGGGATACCGGAAGTGCTTCTGTTGTCTCTCTTTTTCACCTTCAAAAAAAGTATTAGGGCTGCCATGTTATGGATCAGTTTTTGCCTGGGAGTTAAGTTAGAAATGAATACACAAAATTAATGTATATAATATTGTATTTGTTGAATCAGTGCCAATCTGGACACTACAGTGTTGTCAAACTATCTCCTAAGTGAACATCTTTCTTCAGCGTGAACTTCAAATGCTCAGCCTTTTTTTTTCTTCTTTTTTCTTTGTTCCCAGCACTTGCCTGAGAACTAGCAGAGCATTTGTTGTTCTATTGTACATACTGTATCAGTTTCAGTGTATGGGATTTTTTCAAGCTTCTCCTTATAACTTTATAACCCTTTGTTTGTTTGTTTGTTTGTTTGTTTGTTTCAGCTGAAGTGGTGTGCTTGGATAGCAGTCTACTGCTCTTTCATCAGCTTTGCAAACTCCAGAAGCTCAGAGGACACCAAACAGATGATGAGCAGCTTTATGTGAGTTTACAGCACCTTGTGTTCATACAGAATTTATTCTACTAATGCCTTCCCTGAGCATGCTTGGGATATTATAGAAGGATTGTATAAGAAGGATAATATATTATTATCCTTCTTAAATCAAAGGGGAATGCAGATATTCTTACATCTTGGACCACTGAAAGGCACAGGTTGTTATTCATTAATACAGAACAAGTTAACCTTTTTGTTAAGGTAAAAACATTTTGTCAATTAACCGTCATAACATCTCTCTCTTCAAAGTCACAGAAACTGTAATTTGACCTTGTAAAACACTGTTGCTTGTAAACAGGGCCTGGACTTGGTTGTTTGTTTTGGATTTGGGTTTTGTGTCATTTTCAGAGCATACCCTTAAACACAACAGTGCCATAACAATACAAACTAATCCCGTTTTCACATATGCACTCCGGATAATATCTAGATAATTGCAGGAGGACCACTCCGAGATTGTCCCGACCTAGCCGTTCACATATGCTCCTCACAGCAGGGGACTTTCCCTGTCAGAGGGGAGGGGGCTCGGGGGATTTCCCGACGTAAGACGTGACGTAAATAAACAACGCGGAAGTAGCGCCGAAGCAACACAGTCCGCTACATAACGTTATAATGAGAATATTTTCCTTTATTCAATGCTTTGTGTAGTCTAATGGAATGACAATATCCACAAAAGAGAGAGAACAACACACTGACCAACAGAAAACATAATGCAGCCGTTTAATTACGTGCACGGAGATCGTCGTGATCGCGTGCAGACACTTTAGGCCGTCACTATATAAACGTCATTCTCTTTTCATTGGCTGAAATTTAAAATCTCCGTAGTGTATTCGGCCGCGTTCAGACATCAGCTCCTCCGGATTATCTGCGTAAAAAATACTAGGTGTCTGGCCGGAGAAACTCCGGGTAATATCGGAGTAAAAAATTTGGCTGTTGCGTTCACACATACAGCTCCTCCTGGAAATCTCCAGAGTTTTTCAGGAGACTTCCGTATGTGTGAAAAGGGTTTCACTAACCAGCTGAGGTAGCTTAATCCAAAGAGAGATTAGAGAGATTAATCCAAAACTGCCTGTGGCAAAAACAAACCATTTTATAGGGTGTGTTTACCAGCCACTGCTAGAACAAGCAGTCTACAGACGCAAATCTAAAACTTTTAGTACCTGTCATCTTGAACAATCTATTAATATTAAAATGTTATTAAATGAATAGCCTTTAAAATACCATACTACATCTCAGTGTCATTGAAAGGGGACCAGAACAAACAATCTGAAAGGAGTGCTGCTGTCTACTGCTGAAGAGACACTTTGAATCTTTGTTTTAGTTTTATTTCAAACCTACAGGTTTGAGGCAACACATTATTTTAGATAACTGACTTTCAGTGTGGACTATGAAGGCCCCTTCTATATTTAGCAGAAGAGTATGCTCTCTCTAAAACCTAGATTTAGAGGTTTGAGAATCTAAATTGTCTGTTATTACACAAGTGGCCCTATTTTCCTTGGCAGCTCTTAAAATGGCCAATGTAGGTACTGTGTTTTTATTTAAGGTCTTATATCATGCAGATTTAAATCTGGAGGTTAGACTCACGTCTATCTGCCACTGAGACTTGAGATTAGCCAACTCTAACGTCCAAAAGCTTTTACCTGTCTGACCTCCAGAGGTGGGACATTTCCATTTGCTTATAAAAGACTCCTACAACAGGGCACCGGTCCAGGCCTCACAGACAGACTCACAATAAGGAGAAACCTTCTGCTCCATTGTCTAGATGAGGTTGCATTAAGACAAGCTTGATGCACTTATCATTTTGTAACGCAAAATGTTTGGCTCAGCATATAATGTTAGACAATAAACTAAATGCTTGAGCCTGGATGCTAGTTCAAGGCCAGTTTTAGGACATTTGTCAACAGCCAAGATATGATGCAAGTATCTCTGTGGTATTCAACAAAGGTGAGTGCTAATGCAGGATAGGGCTACACGATTCTTGCTGAAATGGGTATCACAGTTTTCTCCCTGAGAATTGAGATCACGATTCTCTCACATACGGTCATTTTTAATATTTCCACTTATAAATGAAAACTCTGGCTCCAACTCCACCACGTAGTGTCTGCCTCCTTCCTGCTCGTACATGTGCCATTGTCTACCCCGTTTGTGGTTACTATAGTAACGGTGACTGACAGCGGCGTGCCATAAATGAGAAAGAGAGGTGAATGAGTTGTAAGGCTAGTCTGTGGCCTAAACAATGAATACAATGTGTGTACTGCTTAACGCTGTGTGAGAGTGGCTGATATAGCAACAGGGATCGTTGTAAATCAAATTAGGCCAATCATACCTGCTGCACAGAATGACGGGGGGGGTCAAAACCTTTTTATTAGCTTAAGGCATATTTTAATATTAGTTTTGTTTATTAACTGTGCTTCATTCTAAAACTGTTTTTTGGTTTGTGTAACTAAACATTTGCTCATCTTACTTCCATTCAGCTTCTATTCTGTTCTACACAAATACACACCTGCACACCTCTTACACACAGCTGCTCAGAGACGCTAAAATAAGATTACTCATGTTTTTAAAAGTTCTACTCGATATACCATGATCACATCAGGTGTGAGGAGGCTTATTGATTACATTCACACCTCTAAATTGTACTTAACTTTTTCTCTTAAATGTGCCCTTTGTCCAGTCAACACAAATTCTACTTTCACACATCCATATAGGCAACTCCTACAATTGTCTCTCATTTACAAAACTACGCTACGTTTTGAGGGCCACAGTATTGGGATCCGTTGCTTCTTCTTCTTATGGACATTCATATAAAACATGGCAAACATTGACGTTAACTCCTGTTCTCTGCAGGCTCTCCATCTCAGCAGTCGTGATGTCCTACCTCCAGAACCCACAGCCAATGTCGCCGCCATGGTAACCAAGGGCCAATCACAGAACAGCAAGGAAGTAAATTTGCGGACGTTAGATCCGATGACGAAACAACTGATAGGCTCCCCCCGACCATCATGGAGGAAAAACAGAGACACAGAAGCAGATTAAAAGACGGACAGTAAGGAGAACACAACGGCAAGACAAAGAGATCGAATGTTCTTAGACTGCACTATCGTGTTTTCCCTTTTTTAACCTTTTCTATGTTGCTTTGTTGATGGAAACGTGTTTTGCTGCTCGGTTGAAGGAGAACGTAAATAAAGTTATACAATTTTAAACTGTTTTTTTTTTCTCCTTTTTTTTACAGAAGAAAATATTGACACCTGACATTTAAACTTACATTCTTAAAGTTGTTACCTTGAAAATACTGTTTACATCAACCTGGGTAAGCTTCAGTCTTAAAAGCACAAACTGATGCTTTTTCAAGTCAAATCTCATTCAGTTCCCATTTTATTTAATTTTGTTCATTACACAAGCATCATTTATGAAGTTTTGGAATTGCTGCCCTGGGAGTCTACGATACGTAGTAAAAATGAACAAGAGAGAAAGGCAAAAACAAAGCAGATGGTGTTACATAATGACAATAATTAAACTTTAGTTGTTTTACCCTTTTATATTTCAATAAATAAAAGCAGTGGTTTTAGGGAAAAGGTTTTAAGGAAAAGGCTCTTTTGAAGAGGAGTGTTTTCAGGTCCTTGTATTTCTTGAATTTGGGAATAAATATGATCAGGAAATAAATCCAGATATCTACGAATAAAGCCTCAAGATTTCTAAGAGGAACATGTTTAACATTGTTAAATTTGAAAGATTTTTGAGAACGAAGTCAGAACCTGGAATTTCAAGTTTAAATCCTGAGTTTCAAGTTGGACTTCTGAGGAGGAAAACAGTCAGATTTCTGAGGTTAAAGTAGAAATCATAATGTCAGAATTCTGAGTATAAAATTCAAATACATTTACCTTATACCTTCCATACATTCAGTGTGGGATTTACAATGCTCAATTTAAGTAATCAGCAAGATTGTCTCTATCTTCATCTGTCAGAATGTGCAAAAACACTTAAGACTAATCTTTGCCTACCTTTTATTTATAATGTGAATGCAGCACGGCTTATCTCACCCAATAATAGTAATGACTTTTAAAAGAGATAGTTGTACTCCTGAATAGCAGATATAAAAGAAATATTAGCTCACGTCATCCACATAGACCTGAAGAAGAATCAGTAAAACTCAGAACATCTGTGAGATGTGTAAACTCAGGTTTTATGTGATTCACTTATATATATAGCAGTCGACCTTATCCTCTGTTCAGGAGCCGTTAGTACACATACACAGAAGGTCTATCCCCCTCCGGCCACTCATCTGCTCTTTCTCCTCCACCACACACGCAGACACACACAGCATTAACTACTGGTGTGAGTGCTGATGACAGACAAGAAGCTGGGGAGTCAGCTGCATGTGACACTGATTTAGTGACATGTATAACTCACGTCCCCTCCGGCCCTGCTCTGCTGCAGACACACAGAGCTGCTACTCTGCACTCTGAAGCCACATTTTCAGCAAACTGCTCTGGATTTTCTCCTGATTTTGTACTGACTCACACTGCTTACTCACTCCTTTTTTCCTTCCCATTGTTGTTGTTTCTAATCCAAGTTGCCCCGGTTATAATGCAGCATTTGTTGTTGATTGCTATCTGAGGAGAGGATATTGAATTTGTCCTAGTCAGCAGATATCGTGTGAATTGATCAGTGGGCTGCGTAATTTGGATATTACAAACTGTCACAGTTTGTTGAATGTAGATGTGAAGTTCAGTGGTTGACGTGCTGGAGGCGATTTTTTAATTAAATTGAATCTCCATATTCTGCTCTGCTGGCTCTTAGTGTACAGAGAGTGATGGGAAACAGGCCTCCTTCTCACTCTGTGACACTAGAGGGCACAGTGGTTTTACAAATGAGTGAGTTCATAATGAATCGTATAAAGAAATAATACAAGGCAAGTATCTGTGTTCTCCACTTGGTTTCCTCCTTGACGGTCAGGTGGACAAGCTAAACTGGTACTATCAATATCATGTAACTGTTCTTTTGAATGTGTCTTTGCTTTTATAAGTTATTGAGATCCATTGTTTTTGACTTGGATGGTTAGTTTAATACCAATAAGTGATTGTCTTGTGAAAACCAAAAAGTGAAATTAGACTTGACATAAACACTATTTGTTTTTAATTTAGACTAGTTGTTTTCCTCTTCTGAATACTTGGAATACTGTCTCTCTTTTTATTAAACCAGGCTTCTTTTTGCCTTCCAAGCTGGCCATAAAAGACATTAATACATGTGTAGGAGCTGAGGAGACGGGGAAGTTGGGATTGGCTTTGAAAAACTGCTTTTGTGCTTCTTGCTTGAGTCTGACCCTCAAAGACTGTTATCATTATGAACAACTATTTCATGCAAGTCTTGAATTTAAGATTCTGTAAACTTCTATAAATCATATTAATATAATCTTTTAATACTATCATTAAAAGTATGAAGATAGATCTTACGTGCAGGAGTACGTTTCAGTGACAGTAAACATTTTATTAAAACTCTGAACGTGTCAGACATTCAGATTCAATATGGAGCAGTTATCCAGCTGAAGTGAGTGAAATCTGCTGTGTTTTATGTGTTTTACCATCTTTGTTTAAGGACAGCTGTTCTTTAGACTGTTGGGACTTACACAATAAGAGACACTGGTTTAAGTCCAGTACAGACCAATCAGTACAGAGTTTACAATGGTATAGTTGGCGAGCTTCCAGGAGGACTCCAGGGTCTTGCTGTGGCGTCCTTGAACAGGTCACCTGCCCTGGTAATGATTTTGGCATCTGACTTCGTAGCAGCCAAACGGCAGCTCCACAGCGGAAAATAAAGCCAATGCGTGAGGGCAAAAAAAAAAAACTGCAGTTCATCGAGTGCCCACCCCATATTACAATGTCCATTTTGAATGCAGACAAAAAGAAAACATCCTGGTACAAAAAACGATTTTGGTCGGGATAGCTTGCGTCGGGGGGGGTGACCTTTTTTTTTTTTTTTTTATAACTCATCTGTTTTGATTTTATGAAGGATAAGAGTAATGTATAGTAAGGAGGTGTGACTGATCTGACTGCAACCGGCCACGCCTCACAAACCAATAATGGCCCTGAACATAACATAACCTTTGTCACCGTGTCTTCACCTATAAAAGAGTTCAGTTTTAAGGCCCCTTTCATTTTTCTTTTAGCATGTGTATCATTATTAGCCGCTTGAAACTCTTGTATTGTTTGAATTGGTGGGTAACTAATTAAGGGATATGTTTGTCTAATAAGGATGCACCAGATGAATTCTTCATGGCACAGGAAAAGTAGGACACATTTTTCGGCCGCTGCTGTGAAGCAATCAGTCTTCAAATGCACTCTCACAGCTAGGGTTAGAAAAGGGCTCCTTCAAATCTACATCATCAGCCAGGTCAGCTCAGGTTCAGGGATTTGAACCAGTAACCTTTTATACCTTAAATGCTAGTTTAACCTTACGGCCATGTCCAACCCCGCCTGTTTAAATTGTGAGTGTTCACTGTATTAGATTGGATGTGCAGCGTGGCCTTCACACTGCAGCCTCTGTTATTTGTGAGTTTGTGTGTACTTGTGCCGTGTGTGGGGACGTTTTTTTTTTTTTTTTTTGTGCATATTTACTGAACTCCATTGAGTCCCTGCAGGAAAACAGCAGGGACGCTTTCTGTGTCCTCAAATGAGGTTAAACTGAACCTCTGCAATATTTCAATACCCTGTGTGAGTGAGTGTGTGAGAGGTAGAGAGAGTGTATGTTCAGCCAAAGGCTTTCATTTTCAGGTGCAAGGTGTTATTGGATGTGAACAACGGCACTGTTGGTGGAAAGATGCTGTGTTGGGGATCCTTCTCACGCACGCACGCACACGCACACACACACACACACACACACACACACACACGCACACACGCACACACACGCACACACTTTTGGTTTACAACACAATACACAATGACTTAGGAGGAGTCATACAGAAATGCCAACACATGCATGCATGCAAATGGAAGTGTGCACACCAGCTCACAGGTAATTTGAGGCAAGTTCAAGCTGCATCACACCTTGATGTTGAATTAAAACAAAAAAGAAAGACGAAATCAAAGTCAGACCCCTGTGACATTGGTCCTGCTGCTTTAGACTATATCTTTGAAAATGATCTCAATATTTCTCTTTTCGCAGCTTAATCTTTTTCTCTCTTTAATACAGATTCCTGTGAACAGACAGGTAACACCAGAGAGAGAGAGAGAGAGAGAGAGAGAGAGAGAGAGAAAGCGGCATTAAATTGAGAGACAAGGAGAAATCTTAACTACGATACTTTCTACTGTTAACTGCTAATAGCCAAGTTTATTTTCTGATTTTCTGCTGTGGTTTTTATTCCTCTACATATTCTACTTTTATTTACACTAATGATACAGTAAACATAGGAAATAAAGATGATTTTTTAAAATAGGCTACATCTATTACCTCTATTTTGGAAGAATATTATTTCTTTGTTTGATTTGTAATTTAATGCTTGTCATCCCTGCCACAGAAGAAGATTTTATGATGGCATGCAGTCCAGATGTGTTTGACTATGATTTCCACGTAAAAGATTAAGAGTGAACCATATGATTGATTATTAACAGTCAGCAGGATGTTTTTATTTTATTTCAGTCCTTCTTATGCATGCACAGACTTGACGGGGCGGCTGTGGCTCAGTTGGTAGAGTCGTCGTCCCTCAACAGGAAGGGGTTCGATCCCCAGCTCCGGCACATGTGCGATGTGTCCTTGGGCAAGACACTTAACCCCGAATTGCTCCTGCTGCTTCGTCGGCGATGTATGAATGCGTATGAATGGATTATTTTTGATGGTGTCACTACATAGCAGCCTCTGACCATTTACAGTGCATAAGCCTACAGTACAAAACTATTTAAAATATTTACAGGTGTCGTCAAAATTAAAAAAATATTGAACTTTATATTAACTTTTAAATGGTGCTTCACTTTGCTTCTTATTTTTGGGTTTGTTCATAGACGAGCTTTATCTGCTCACCTTGCTTCCCTTCAATTTCTATGATCCACACACAAACATGCATCTCTCTCTCGTCACACACAGCTTGTCCCGTTTCGCCTCCTCCCTTGTCTCTACTTGTGTGTGTGCGTGTATGTGTGTGTGTGTTTGTGTGTGTGTGTGAGAGAGAGAGATTTTTTGACAATACTCAGCAGCAATATGATTTATA